CTTACTTGGGGTCGCCTGGGGCAGAGCAGCTGGGGTGCTGCTGGGTTGCTCCAGTAGCGCGGCTCCTCGGCATCCTGATTCAGCCGCTGCTGAAACTGGGCGGCTTTGCTCCTGTTCCCCTGGTCTTTGCTCAGGTGGACCCCCCCAGCAGACCAGGGGGACCGGGAAAAGCTTTTCTCGCCCCGGAGGACACAGGTGGCGACCCGCCGCCCGTGAGCTCCGGGGCGAGAAAAGCCCCGTTCGTAAGTGCGGATCCGACATAAGTCGGATCTGCGTAAGTTGGGGACTGCCTGTACTTGTGAGAGCTCAATGTCAAATTGCAAGGGCCTAACCAGTTTCTTACTTCCTGTTTTTCAAATGTAAAATCATTCAAAGCTAACTTAAAGCTATGGCAAATTCAACTAGAATAGGGCCAAAGTTGATTATTTTCCAACCCTACAGGGGCAGAAATCTGCATTAACAATGCAGAGCACACAAGGGAGTATTCAAATTTACTTCAGAAATTATTGATTATTGAAATTACAACTGGATACAGAATTATTTTCTATGCTAGATATGCATTTTTCCCAGTTATGTAGAAAATATTTTCACATCATATGCTGTATGAGTTTCTTGCTCCACCCTGTTTAGAACCCTTTGGATTGCAGTCATATAATGATGAACTCTTAGCATAGTTTTGAGACTATCTGCCCTTAACTGTTTGATAGAGTGAGCTAATATTTCATGATGCATTAATTGCTTTAATGATTTCAAATCACCTCCTATGTGTATTGGTTCAAAATATATATATACAAAAGATATTCTGGTTTTTTGTGGTGGATGACATACCATGTAAGGGCAATATTAACTTTGCATCCTTGTATTGAGAATACTTTACACATACACAAATTATAACCACAACTGTGTTCAATTGTATAAAATCTGTTAACTAAAATACAGGACATCAGCTTTTAACATAGAAACAATACTTTTCCATTTGTACTAGAACAAAATTACTTATTAGAGAAGAGTGGTGAAGCAGTTAAATTACATTTACCTGCGTGGGAATTAAGATGCACTTGATGCTCCTCCCAGAGGTTGGTTGTATACGGGTATGTTCTAGTCCCTTTTGTTCTATATATGCTTGCATGTTGACTGTGAGATACTGGGAACATGTAATATGTACCTATTTGCTAGCTTCCATGGGCATTAATAAGGACCAAATATTATCCTATGAGGATCAGTGGATAAATATACTCCTTGATAGCATGAATTTAGAACATAAGTGACTATGGTTTTGTTGGCTCTTGAATAGGTAAAGTTGACTATTTGCCTCCAACTAAAATAAGCCTTTTCAAAGTCATTAGTTTGTTCCTATATAATTTTTCTTAACTCTATAGGTAGCCCTCCTCTAAATCCATCCCAAATAATGGCCTTGGTGACATCTAGCAATCTTATTTCTCAAGATTGAAATCTTCTTCAAAGTAATTATTTCCTGACAATTCGCATCACCCTCTACCTGACCCTAGTATCTTCCTGTAGGAAAATATTTCCTATCTCCTGGGTGCATGGTTATTAGTACAGATACCTTTGTTGAACACTTACAGATAGCTGCATCCCATCAAAGTCTTCCCTATATTTGGGCATACTAGGACATCCATGACATCTTGAGCAGTGTATACATGTCAGTTTCCAGATCCCATTCTGGTTCACCTGGGATATTCCACTGGAACAAGATAGCATCATCATGTTTTGGACTGTTTGTTTATTCTCATGAGTAGCCACTGGACATCAAACTACTATCAAAATTAAGGGAAGCTTAGAATCCCAATTTTCCCCCAGGGACATCAATTGCCTTTTCAACATGTTTTTGATGACCCAGTTTCATTTTTCAACCCCGAGGCCTGGGGATGTCCAGCTATGTGAAATTGTTCTTCTGTGTTCAAAGGAAAGAATAGTTGTTTCATAAGGTCCCCGGTGAAGTGGGGCCCTGATCAGAATCAATTTCATTTGGGAGGCCAAATCTAATGAAGGTATTGCATAAATGCATACAATTCCCAATGATATTAGTAGAGATTCTTATGCAGTGTGAGGTCAGAATAGGGTCTATATAGAACACTTTAGACCCCTTTGTATTTAACTATTGAAAGTATTTGTTTGTTAGGAAAGTAAATTATAGATAGATGATGTAAAAACTAACTATGTACTGTATTGAACAAATACTGCTTCTATAATTTTTTTTTAGAGAAAAAGATCATCTGCTTTACATTTCACTATGCTATTTAGCTTTTTTGGTAAAATACCAGAAGTATACTTACTAAAGTAGGTCAACAGTTTATTTGATGCCTCTCTTAAGAACAACTTTTTACAGTACTGTGTATGTGTTATGATTAAAACATTGAGTCATTTCTGTCACCAGCTGCAGAGTATTTTTAGTTGCTTTCACATTAGGTGCAGAATTATTTAATTTTACTTGTGTTCTTTTTATCTGGATTACAGTTTTGGGCATGGTGAGAAGTCAATTGTCACTCTTCAAAGGGTTAAGTTTTTGCTAACAAATATGGACTATTAGATATGAAAACCGTCATTGTTTGATATGTCAAATAAAACATTTGTCAATCAAAAGTCTTTAAGCACTGAGCTATGTGACATTTACTCTTTTATAAACCAATAAAGTCCCTGGTGGCATGCCTTTTTTCATCTCATTTAAATAGTGGTAGGAGAACAAATCATATTTCAGAGCAAGTTGATAACTGCCAGTCACGATTCTTGCCTTGTTTACTATAATGAGCAGGGTAATAAATGCATCTGACCATTTCAGCTGGCATTTGCATAGATGAATGATTTGTCCAGTCAGTCGCTCTCCAGTGATTTGGGCCTTTTTGTCAGCACAAAGAGCATTCAGTCTCTCTGGAATTTACAGCAGCCAAACTCTCATTAGCAAACATCCTTTACCATGAATGATTCAAATAATTACCACTGAAATAATAAACTGTTTCACAAAAACATTTTATTTGATGGCTCCAAACATCAACTTTTCTGAATTGTTGACATTCAAATAAGCCAGAGAGCTTTTTTTGTTAAGCAACAATGATCCTCTTGTAAAAGGGTGGGCATTGTTTTGCCTCTAATAGACCTTTAAACTTGGCCAGTTATTAAACGTGTCTCTCAAACTACCAGCCAGCGTTCTGGGTAATCAGAGGGCATGGACCAGATGGAGCTAGAGTAAAACTACACACTGAAATTCCAAACAAATTTTTGTCAATCTGCTTCTGATATTACAAGCTTAAAACTCCAGACTAATTAACAGCAATTTACCTGTTTGCACCTAAAGCAGTAGTATAATTATTAAATGGCCTTGCTTACATTGAGTGTGTGTTCTTTGAAATGGTATTTATATGTATTAATTGCTATTTGATATAGTTTTGGAATTCATTCAAACGAGCCGGCTATAATAATTTACACTCTTATCTTCTATAGTTCATTGCAATAGGCATGATGTCAGTGCATTGACAAATACGTTGCACTAGGCAAGTAGTAGTTTCTGATATCACCTTTTTATACCCATTCCATCATACATAATTTAGAAAGTTTTAATAAATTTGCACTGGTGCAATGTATGAACATGTTAGGTGGATATCATTCCATGTATACGTTTTCTTTTCACTGTGGTATTGTTTGCGCATGTATTTGTCCGAAAATATTAGCTTAAATATAACAAATATCTTAATTTGAACAAAGATTGGTTCAAACAGGATTAAATGACACATTGTATGCATCTCTTAGGTCCAAAGAAATAGTCAACAGAAGGGGAGATATTTTTTTCATAGCTTAAGAAATTTCTTCTTTGAGTGATTGTACATGTCCATGCCACTCTGGGTGTGCATACCTAAGTGCACAATTGTTGTCACTTTTCCACTTATGGTACCAGTTGGGGCAGCGTACGCACCTTTTTTGCTACTTTTCAAAGGTATAAAAGGCTTAGTCGCCCCCATTTTGCTCAATTCCTTCTTACTGCCAGTGACAGTTGTTGAAGTACATGGTCTTGTGTTTGCACACTTTTCCCTGTTTGTGTATTTAGCACCCTATTGTTGTTTTGTCTATTTTAAATGAGTGCAACAGTCTAGAGCAGGGGTGTCCAAACTTTTTTCAAAGAGGGCCAGATTTGAAGAAGTGAACATGCGTGAGGGCCGTCCCCGCGCACTCAGCCCCAAGGCAGAGGGCCCGTAGGGTCGGAGGCGGGCGGAGAGCGCAGGGCATGCCGGCCTCACGACGGCCCGGGGGCAGGGCGAACCCGCAGCCGAGCGGGGGAGCGGGGCTGCGGACATGCCCTACAGGGCAGGCTCTAGGGCCGTGGAGGCCATGGGCGGCGGCCGGAAGCGGCGGGAGCCAGGAGAGGGGGAGGAAGCGGGGGCCGTATTAAATTGGAACACGGGCCGCAATTGGCCCGCGGGCCGGACTTTGGACGTGCCTGGTCTAGAGTCTAGACTGACTAGTTTTCAAGATTGTGACTTCTTTGATTCCTGAATGGGTACTGGTGCCAATACTGGGATCATGCCTAGGTCTTTGGGTTTCAGATCTTGCCACTCTTGCACTAAGCCTGTGCCTGGGAGTGACACATACATACCCCAGCTTTCTAAAATGCCTTAGGAAATCTCATATGAGTGGCAAATCTGTAACGTGTTAAGCCCTATTCTGAAAAAGACAGAGCAATCAAGCTCAAACTTGGTTCATTAGTGGCTCTTCATCTACCTTCAGAGCCTTCTCACTCAAATGCAGCATCAAGCAAATATTCTAAGCAAATATTTTGATGTGTTGGTCAAGAGCAGACTGTCAGTCCCAAGACTACTATCTTCTCCTTCCCTTTTATTTGCTAACCATTTATCTGCAACAGATAACCATAGCAGTACTATGCAAACCTAGTAAAAAAAGGAAATCAGGCCAGCAGTAGTAGTAAAAGTGCTGTATCAATTTACCAGTAAAGTGCATTGTAAGGAGCTGTTTTTGCTCAGTTTCTGCTATTACTTTTAATGATGACAAGAAAAATCCAATTTATATAGTATAAGAAGATGTAACATTTTATTTATCCAAAGATCTAGCAAAGTTTTTAACAATAGATTTAAAATTCTAAAGATAACAGCTTTTTATAAACATTATAACTTATAGTTAATATATCTGTAGTGAAATCAGTTCATTAAAAGTATATTTGCAAAGTACACCAAAACTGCCATATCAGAGCTGCCATTTTAAAGAATTGAATTCATACTCTTTAAAGCTGCAATGCTATCCATATAATTTTATCATATATTGATATCCAAAAACCATTTCTCATTTAAAGATGTTTGTTTGGGGTCTGTAATATGATTTAGTAAAAACTACTGAACTCGTCTGGCATGCATTATATTTAAAGGTGAAATGTGCCATATTTATAATTGATTTTAAGCAGTGTTTTTCTGTGCATTGTTTTCCATTGGGAATTGTTTCTTAAAAACTGATGGCAAAATATAGCCTATTACATTTTCAGTATCTAATGGACAATAGATGTATTTCCAGAAAGTGACACTTGTAGAACCTTGTAGACATACTCAGAATGTTGCAGCATGTAGCAAATTTCACGGGAAATCTTATTTCCAGAGTACACAATATATTGGTCATATGGGCTCCAGATTTCTCTGAAAGTGTGTTCAAAGCATTAGATGTGATATGGTCAAAAAGTTACATTTCACCTTTAGTTACAAGCTGCATCACAGTATTTTATGTGCAATCTTTTCTCAAAGTGATAGGAGAAATTAGTTAAATTAAATTTCAGGTATAATATAAAAAACACTCTCAATTATTAGAGTGAATGACAAAGTTTCATTAGAATGGATTTGTCTGACAAGCTCTTGATAGGATATGACACATACGTCAGTATATTTGCTGAGACATACATCAGTGGGTGTGTGTGTATATAATGCAAATAGACTGATGTGTGTGTATATACACACACGCACATGCTAGAAGACGGTAAGGGTAGTGCGTGGTTTCCTGCCGTCATCTCCCAAGGGTGGGGGGACCACACATGCCATGTCTGGCTCCTCCCCAGGGTTGGCGGGGGTTGTGCATCCCGGCTGCTGGCTTCTCCTGAGGACCAGCTTGGGGATAGCAGGGGCTGTGCAGCCCACCTGACAGCTTCTCCCCAGAGCAGGCCTGGAGCAGTGGGAGACAGCATGGCCTGATGTGCGGCTGCTCTCAAGGGCCAGCACAGGGAGGTGGGCACCATGCTGCCAGTCAGCGGCTGTTCCCCAGGGCTGGGGTGCTTCTTGCCCCCATATTTGCTTGCTCCTTGTGGTCATTTATGAGTATAATTCTCCATGCAATCACATCCTTCCCTTTACATTTGATGCAAAACAGTTGCATTCAACGTACATCCATTTGGCCTGACACAATTAAACTCTGACATTGCTTTAAGTTATGATAAGAGGAAGTTGCATGCCAAATTTGGTTATCCTAGCCCTTGCCATTTAGAGCCGGGGTGTCCAACGTGCTAGCCACTAGCCACATGTGGCTATTTGGCCAGTTGAGTTTGATTAGTTGGTTTGAACAACGTGGCTATTTGGCCAGTTGAGTGTAGATAGTTCACTATAGCACTAGCCACTATAGGGGCTACTGCTTCAGAACTGGTTGAACACCATGGCTGTGTCTAGACTGGCAAGTTTTTCTGCAAAATCATCTGCTTTTGCGGAAAAACTTGCCAGCTGTCTACACTGGCCATTTGAATTTCCGCAAGAACACTGACGATCTCATGTACGATCGTCAGTGTTTGTGCGGAAATAATGTGCTGCTCCCGTTCGGGCAAAAGCCCTCTTGCGCAAATCATTTGTGCAAGAGGGCCAGTGTAAACAGCACAGTACTGTTTTCCACAAAAAAGCCCCGATTGCGAAAATGGTGATCGGGGCTTTTTTGCGGAAAAGCGAGTCTAGATTGGCCACGGACGCTTTTCCGCAAAAAGTGCTTTTGCGGAAAAACGTCTTGCCAATCTAGACGCGCTTTTCCAAAATGCTTTTAATGGAAAACGTTTCCGTTAAAAGCATTTCTGGAAAATCATGCCAGTGTAGATGTAGCCCATGGGTTTAGAAGGTGTTCTTGGACAAACTGACTCACAAATGGACAGAAAGACACACTGATGCACAAACTCTCTCAAATATATAGATTTTACAGAAATAGAAATATAGCTGCAGGAACTGGTTGAGGCCTTAAAGACATGAGCTAGTGCATGCTGTGAGATGAATATTAAGGTGAGTCAATTTTTTTAGGTCAGTAAGCTGATCTTTGTTTAGAAAGCAACTCTCTCTGAAACTATAAAATTAGTAACTTCCCTTTATTTTTCTACTCACAAAACAAGGCATTTGCCATTGTTGACAGTTTGATATTAAATGGAGGAAAGTCACGTTTGCAGTGGTGTTAGAGAATTTATGACACTCAATTTGGTTTATAACTT